CTTTGCATGTCTGCTTTCCTCTTGGGAAGTGGGTGTTTGGGTGCTGCAGCTGCTCACTGCCAGGGTAGGAAGGAAGGTGCATGGGCAGCAGAGCCATGCTCTAAAGCAGAGAATGCTGTCAGTGTGGGGCCCTGCATTGTGAAGGTGGAGGTGGGCACCTTACAGCTCTGGCAGCTGCAGTGCTGGTAGTGACAGTTTCTGCTGCTTTTCCTGCTTGTTCCTGTTCCTCCTCTGCCTCATCTCTTCCCTGGAGGAGAAAGGCAGCTCTGAAGTGCAAGAGCGGGTCAGAGCCCACAATTGGGCTTTGGCAGATCCTTGGAGGAGTCGGCCCCTGAAAGTGGTTCACCTGTATCTTGGCTTTGAGTTGAATGGGTGCAGGAATGGGAGGCTCCATTGACATCAGATGACCTGCATCATCTTTATCCTGGCTCTTTGTCCCTGCTCTCTGCTAGGGAGAGGAGAACTGGGCACACCAGCTTGTGCCGTGCTGGGCTTTGAGGAGGCAGGTCTTGGTGGCCAAGGGTCCAGACTGTGGCCTGCCTAGGTTTAGGGGAGCATGGAGATTGCTGCTGCCTGTGCCTGGAGGTGTCTTGAGGGCATCCTCGTTGCTTTGTGCTGTGAGAGGGCTGGTGCTTTTGGCAGCTGACCAAGACAAGAGCCAGACAGATGGATGTTACAGCCTGCTTGCTGCCAGGTGCGTTTGCTTTGTGTAGCCTTGCTCCTAGTGGCAGGAGGAGAATTTGGCTGGGGGTGCATCATGCTATTCCTGTCCCTCTTCAGGAGACTCCATGCTCTTTCCAGGCATGGCTTATGTCTCGGATGCTTCCTTGCTGCTTTTGGCTGTGCTGAGCTGCAGGATTTGTAGGGGTAGCGCTGTGCTTGGGGGTTTAGACTCAGATTTGAATTAAGGAAAGCTGGAGGCCGCTCTGTGGTGATCTTCAGCTGGTTTGAGGTGTAGGTGGTGGCTAGTGCAGGTCAGACCTATGTTCTGAGGAGGTAAGTGCAGGGCGAGAACCTGGTGCTGAAGGGCTGTTTGCAGGAAGACAAACAGAGTGGGAGAAGGTGAATATTCGGGTGGAAGAAGGCAGAGCTGCCAATGGGAACAGTGACCTGGGGCAAACAGCGATACTCCCCTGCTGCAGGGGCTGAGCTCCCCGAATGAGGTGGGTACCAGCCCTGACAGCACAGGTGCAAAGTGCACATGAGCATAAACATAAAAGAAATCTGGGATGGAGATCAAAAAGAAAAAATGTTTGAATTGAGGACATTATCAGTTAATTATTTATCAGTAATTAAGCAGATAGAAATTGAAGAAATAGTTGAATAACAAAGTCTGTAGTGGAACTGGGATACAGTTGGCTTTGAAAAGGAAACCTTAGTGCTGTGTGCGTGATGGCAATGGATGTGTTAAACTCGGCATATTTTTTAAGAAGAAATAGAGGATGGTAAAAATCTGTTTTTAAATGTAACAGCTGCTAATTAAAACAAAGGTGTGTGTATTTGTTGTTGAGAAGAGATGCTGCCAATGCAGCCAACGCATAACAAACATGTATAGAAGACAGGTAAACTGTCAACAGGCTAAATAATTTTAATGGCGTGGAAAAGGCTAGCTTGTATGTGATATCTTAGCAGTAAAATAACATTGTAAAGCTGAAAAGCAAATTTTCCAAGAAGGAACTTTGTGTTCTGCACGTCCAGTCAGAGGGTCCAATATGTAAGTGAACATATAAAAAATGGTATATAGTGATTCTGATAGAAACAGCTGTCCTACAGCACCTAATTTGTTAATATTTTACCTGATTATTCTGCTATTGTTATGTAGGCTACAGTGGTATTCTGTACTGTGGTGTTGTATATACATAACCACATCTCTCTGTGATGTTGGCATAGTTATTTGCACGAGGATATTGAAGAAACAGTAACTTAAGAGTGCAGATCCCAGAGTGGAACTACTGCATATTTAATACCTCTGCTGTGAAGGACTTTTGCTATGGAGATGCATACAGTAGGGACCTTGTCACCTCCAAGGGAAGCCTCTTGAAGGATTTAGAGGCGAAGAAAGAGGAACAGGAATTGTGTGAAGACACCTGAACAGAAAAAAGCAAAGGAGCTTTGAGTGACTTGGAAGCTGTTGCAGTTGCATCTGCTAATATAAATTCCAAATAACTGTTAATGGGGAAATGGCATTAAAAGAAGGATAGTGGATTAGCGTGACCATGGCTAGTGCCAAGAAATAACATAACTAAGTGCTGCAAGGGTGAGCATGATGTAAAGTGTTAGTCTTGATGGGGAGGGGGGAGTGTCAGCAAGCAGCAGGGCAAACAGTGTGATACATACGTGAAGTTACTGGCTTTCCATCTTCAGCCAGCCATTTAGATCCCAGTGGGACCATGGAAATGCTCTCTTTGTTTGCAGTCAGGCACCAGTTGTCTGTGTAAGCTCCAGTTGTACTTGTTTGCATACTGTGTGCCCCAAACTGTTGTAAATTGTCTAACTGTTGATAACTCTACCCAATATCTGTATATGTAACCTGTTAAGGTTAAAATTGTACTATTCCTTTAGAAGTAATGCTCAGCTTACAGGTATGATTCCAGTTGTATGCTGTGATGGTCCCAGGATCACTAGGTGTGTTATATAAAAAAAAATTGCAGCGAATGCTAACCCAGCTGTTAATGCTGGAACTCCAGCTTGTGGTGCAGGGAGCCCTGAAGGTAGTGAATGTTGCACACCATGCAGGTGTCCTATCTGACACAGTGCTGCGCAGTCCAAACCACCAAGCGGTGTGCCTGCCTGCAGTCCCACTAGGAATGGTGTCCTGCTACAACAGGGAGTTTTGAACTTGGCATTGCATCCTGTAGTTGTCATCTTAATAGCAAGCTGCATTGTCTATCAAATCAAACAGCAACCGATTAATGGCAGCATATTACAATGAAGAGCTATGCACTGCTGTCAGACCTGTGCAGGCTACCATGAGGCAAGCTGAAAGGGTAAACACCTCTGAGAAAATCCGTTGCTCGGTCCTGGTGAGAAGCCTTGAGCCACAGGAGGGTTTGCAGTATCCTTGCTGGACTCGTGAGCGATAATCTGCAGTTGGTGGACTGCAAAAAAGGGAAATTACGCGCATAGGGTTACAAGGCTGCAGTATAGCCACTGCCAGTAACATGGCTGAAGCTGGTAAGGCTTCTTCTGACCTTCTTTTGTTGCTCCCTGGAGCACTGTCCTGAGCTTGTTTAGCCATGAAAGCAATTGTCTAACAACCAGGTGGCCAATGGCTACCTGGTTTTACTTTTGCTAAGCTTTGTATAATTACATGCCATAGCCGTAACTGTAATATAAATAGTAACAATTCTCATACAGGTAGTGTTACAGAGAAAATCACTCATGTTTTATGTACAAGTTACAGATACAGTTACTCTGTGTCAAATGAAACACTGGTGACACCCAGCATAGTGATGCAGTGTAGAGGAGTACAGGCCTGGTATGGCAGCAGAGATCTCAAAAGTGGGGACACAGGGAGCGTTGCAGAGGGGCATGGGTGTGAGCGGGCATGGAAGGGGGCATGGGTTGACCCCAGGCACCTCTGGGGTTGTGCACAACCTGCCAGTGGTCAGCTAAAGAGATGCGGACCTGGGAGCTGGGCAAAAATGGGTTTAGGGGTAACAGAGTTAAATGGTCCAATGTGTGTTGGAACACACCCTATAAGGTAATTTGAGATGTAACATGCAGTCACAGACAAGTGAAGAGAAAGAAACATCCAGTGCATGTCCGAAATGTATGAAAATTAGCCCCAGATGGATCCTAGAGGGAAGTGGGAGAAGCCATTACCATCATAGTCCTCCCAGCAAAGGAGCTGAGTTGCCAACTTACCTGAACACCCCTCTTTCTATGTTGTCCTCTTTTTCTCTTTTGACTTCACTTCCAAATTCTCTACCTCCTCTACCTGCATGGCACAGGGGGACAGGGAGTGGGGGTTGCAGTCAGTTCATCACATGCTGTCTCTGCTGTTCCTTCCTCCTCAGGGGAGGACTCCTCACACTCTTCCCCTGCTCCAGTGTGGGGTCCCTCCCACGGGAGACAGTTCTCCACAAACTTCTCCAACATGAGTCTTTCCCATGGGCTGCAGCTCTTCACGAACTGCCCAAGCATGGGTCCTTCCCATGGCGTGCAGTCCTTCAGGAATAGGCTGGAAAGTTGGGCAGAGAGGAACCCGCTGAGGT